GTGACCCTGGGCTGGCCGTGGTGGGTGACCCTGGGCTGGCCGTGGTGGGTGACCCTGGGCTGGCCGTGGTATGTGACCCTGGGCTGGCCGTGGTGGGTGACCCTGGGCTGGCCGTGGTGGGTGACCCTGGGCTGGCCGTGGTATGTGACTCTGGGCTGGCCGTGGTGGGTGACCCTGGGCTGGCCGTGGTATGTGACTCTGGGCTGGCCGTGGTGGGTGACCCTGGGCTGGTGAATGATATGTGGCCTCTGCTTCCAGTTTGTCAGGCTGTCCCAGAGCAACATTTGCTGGAAAGAAGGGAAAACTCTCAGGGGATGAGGTCCTCAGTCCAAAATTCAAGACTAGCGATGGTAAGGATGGCTTCCTGAATTTCCCTGCTCATGACTGGGTGCCCGGGTGAGAGAGAGCTGTGCACCTTTTTGGTGGGAAGAAGGCAGAGAGATGAAGCCCCTCCTGGAATGAGTCATGGCAGAGGCAGATCCCTTGACCTGAGCTGACAGCCTTTTGGACCTTGGCTCTGCAGCTCTTGACACCTGTGTCTGGGGCCCCTGGCCCTCAGGAGGTCATGCCTGCTGTAACCTGTGGCTTTGGTGACCACTGGAATCAGAGTCCAGTGGAGCCCACGTGCTATGATTTTGTGGAGAGGTGAGGCTCATTCCCACTTAGGTGAGGAAATTCAGCATCGCCTGAACAAACTTCCATCTTTAATGTAGCAATTAATATCTCCCAAAGAGATTTAAGCCTTTCCACCTGCCACCCAGCTCAGGAGGCAAACCATAAACACTCATCTCAGAATTTTCAAGACAGACTTCTCCAGCACGCGATGTGGGGTATGAGCCCCAGAGAGATGAGCTCAGACAACCAGGAGGGGGGACCTCTGCTGCACGGGGGGTTGCAGTTCCATCTAGAAAGCAGGCTTCCCCACAGCACTTTGGCCCAGGCCTGCCTGAGGCCCAGAGCCACAGCTCAGGTTTCTCACTGGGTCAGTGTTGGAGAATGATGAGGAGATCAAGCAGCTGAACCAGGAGATCCGAGACCTGAACGAGTCCAACTCGGAGATGGAGGCCGCCATGGTACAGCTGCAGTCCCAGGTAGGTGGTGCCGCCCCCCACTCCTGGGCTCTTTGCCTTCCCAACCCAAACATTCATCCTGGGAACAGTGAGGCATCCGTCGGCACTCATCAAGGTTGCCGTCAGGGCTGAGCTGACGGACAGCGCAGTGCCTGGCACACAGGCACACTTAGGACGTGCTGGCCACTCACGTTGTGGTGTCTGTGAAGTCACACTGTGAGTGCCGGCGGGTCGCTGGAGCTGGTTGTCCCACTAGGGCTGTGGTCTCGTTAGCGTTAATAATACTATTAATAATACTAGTCCCATTAAGATTAGCAGCACTGTCTCTTACTCTCATTAGAATTCGTCCTGTCAAGGCTAGTGGTCCTGTTAGGCTTACTGGTCTTGTGAGCACCAGTAGTCCATGAGTGTGATGCCTTAGAGCCAGGCCTCTGGAGCCAGGTTTCTTCCCCAGCACAGCCACATACCAGCTGAGGGACCTGACAAACCTTTCAGCCTTTTCCTCCGTAAATGGAGGTAAGAACAGGATTCTACTCCAGGTTATTGTACAATGAACGCATTTCTATGAGGAAAACATTTAGCATAAGCACCTGATCCAGAGTAAGTGTGGTCAATGAGAGCTGCTGTTGCTGAGGAATAGGATTACAAATTACTTCAAATGTTTGTGTCATATTTCCTGATTTCCCTAAAATGAGCATTTGTAATCAGAAAAATGAAAGAAAAACACTAAAGATCTTATTTTGAAAATAAGAGCATGCCTCACCTGTGGCTGCTGAGTGGCGTGTGCAGCCGCAGTGGGGGAGTGGGCACACGTAACTGTGCCTCTAATGGCTGGAGGGACAAAGGGACAAGGAAGTGAGCAGGTCCCACAGGGAATTTGGGCAGAGGCCCTCTGGGCAGGGACAGATGGGGAGACGGCGGCCTCCACCAAGGCAGCAGAAAATGAGTGACATACTCCAGCCCCATGTGTCTCGTTACTCTGCTCTTGTCTGTACTGGCAAACAAGCTCACGTTGACCGCTTGTTACTCAAGAGCCTGTATAAAAATAGCATCACCCCACAGGGATCAGGAAGGATTTTCGTTGTCATGCACATGTCAATGCTGCGTGCCCCCAGGTTCATAGGCAGTGACAACAGAGAAGGGGTGACGGCCCTCCTGGCAGAGCCATCCCCATCCCCTCCTGGTGTCTCCGAGTGTGGAGATGCACTGTTGTATGGGTGTCCCACTTTGTGCTCGCTGCTCCTCCCCTTCTCAAAGTCCTCAGAGCCTTCATCAGTGTCAGTGTCCTTGGGGTAGCACCTCTGATTTCTCTTTATTTGCCAAAACCAATCTTTTTAAAGACAAATTATTACCTTTTACTGGCATCCCTTTGGAAGGACTCAGAAGCCCCTGTCCCTTTGAGGGAGTTTGGTGAGTGGTGTCCTCTGCAGAAGGGCAAAGGCAAAGGGAAGGCAGGTCCCTGTCTCCCATGCAACCCTTTCAGAGCCACATGCTTGTCGCCAGGCGGCAGAAGAAGCGTGCTTGACCCCATCCACAGCCTCCCGGGAAGGAGCTCACCACTCCTGCCTTGTGTGTCACCCACACTGTCTTTCTGTGAGTGTAGCCTCTGCCCCCACGGCTCCCTGCAGATGGCTGGCGGCTGTTCCTGGACACCAAAGGCCTCAGGGCCAACGCAGCCCTGGGCAGGTTCACCGCCATGGTGGGGAAGTGAGAAGACTTGCCTGTGGTTGGCCTGGGGAAGACGTGCTTGGGAGGCCCTGAGGAGGCTCTCTGTTGGTCTTTCTAGTGAGGGGAAGACCCAAAGGCCGTCCGACACCCCACAGGGTGGGTGCAGTGATTCCCGTCTTACAGATAGAAGCAGGAAGCATGGTGAAGCAAAGACCACAGCAGGTGGAGTCTGAAGCTGAGACAGGGCGCTGTGAAGTCTGTGGTCCCACCCCATCCCCTCAGGACAGAGGGGCTCAGAAAACCAGGAGGGGGACCTCTGCTGCACAGGGGTTTCGGTTCCATCTGGAAAGCATGGTACAGGGAGACGTGCCACACGAGCCCCTTCCTGGCTTCCCTGGAGTCAGGCCATGTCTCCAGAGGGCCCTTGCCTTTCTCTCCTCTGGCAGCCCCTCACCTGTGGCAGGACACTTACAGGAAGGCAGGGTCCCTGCCCCTTCCCCCACCCCAGGGTTCTGTATTCTCCCAGAGGGTTGTGAGAGGCAGCCCAGGAGGACTCCCAGGAGGATGGGGGCCAAGGGCAGGCAGCACTTCAGACCTCTCTCTGGCACAGATCTCCTCCATGGAGAAGAACCTGAAGAACATCGAGGAGGAGAACAAGCTCATTGAGGAGCAGAATGAAGCCCTGTTTCTGGAGCTGTCCGGCCTGAGCCAGGCCCTCATCCAAAGTCTTGCCAACATCCGCCTTCCACACATGGTAGGCAGCACGCGGACCTGCCGGCACCACAGCTGCCCCCCAGGGTCCCTCCGGAAAGCAGGAGGGCAGGGCATCTCCCACCCCCTCTGCCTCTGGGTCCTGCCCTAGGGGTCCTGTGCCCTGGTGGAGATTCTCTCTACCCCGAATGGCCTGGGTATTGGTTGGCTATGGTGGCTTTAGCCCTCCTGAGTAGCTAATGAATCCGAAGCAAAATGGTGATTCCATCAGCAGAGAGGCTACTGCTGGGATGGCTGCAGAGAGAAACACTCAAAGCCACCAGGGCAGGGCAGCCGGTGCTGCCCCGAGTTGGGACGGGCTTGTCTCGGGTCACACGGGGGCACAGGTTTGATGCTCCCACATCAGGTTCTTTGGTGTGGGGCCCACTGCATGGATGGGGCTTGCTAACCTGGTTCTGTTCTCTAGGAGCCAATATGCGAACAGAATTTCGATGCCTATGTGAGCACCCTCACCGACATGTACTCCAACCAGGAGTGCTACCAGAACCCGGAGAACAAGGACCTCCTGGAGAGCATCAAGCAGGCTGTGAGGGGCATCCAGGTCTAGGCCGTGTGGTACCCAGGAGTGTCCCAGCCCACCACACCGTTTACCTCCCCCGCCCTGCCCCATACCGTGGGGATGCCCAACTCACAGTGACTTCCCGTTCGCGGCCCGGTGTGGCCTCGGGTGGGTTTATCCAAAGGGATGGCTGGAAATCAGCCTCTCCCACGATGCTCCCTCCAGGCTTGGGGCCGTGGCGGCCCCATCTGTGCGCACAGGGGCACTGAAGAATTACAAAGTGATTTATTTTTGTTTTCTGAAAGAAATCTGAAGAGCAGCTCAAAGTCTCCAGTGGAAGCTCATGGACAAGGTTCTCAGGGAAGTTTTGGAGTTTGCAACCACAGTATTCCTTTGTCTGTCGAGGCTGGGAGGGTAGCCGTGAGCGTGGTGGGCGGGTGGTGTGAGTGGCATCTTGGCCTGGAGGACATGCCCGGGGCAGCGTGCCTGTGCTCAGTGAGGGCGGCTGAATCAAGTGCGTTTTCTGTTTTCATTTAATTCAGTTTTGTGTTAAGGGTGGAACAAAGCTCTGTCCCAGAGGGAAAGTTAGGAATGTGCCTCCCAGAGGACACTCCGGACAGTTGACAAGCATCGCAGCCCCTGTCAGGTCAAGGAATTTTAACCTGGGAGACTCCTGAAAATCAGCCTAGTGTCTGGGGGCAGCTGGCGCGCTGAGGCTCTGGAGATGTGTGTGGCCCTGGGTCACAGCTCCCTGTTGGGGCTGCAGCCTTTAGACCCTGGGTCTGGGATCCACGTCCAGGGACCGCTCTGGCTTCTGTGCATCCACCCGGACCCCTGACCCATCACTGCCACATTATCCGGGTCGTGGCCAAGCTTGACCTCTGCATCCATGGCGACGGAGGTGGCAATGGCATCATCAAGGTCAGAGGGTAAATTCCTAACAGGAGACCACCAAGGTTTCACTTCTTTTAGATCCATCCAGTATGCGAAAAAAGGGTACATTTTAATTTAATGTGTTAAAAACACAATGTTCCTACTGTGTAAATAGCATCCAAGTCAGTTGTGACTGCAATTCCAAGTTAGTATTTAAAAGTAGAGAAATTGCACTTCCTGGAAAAAATTAAAGAGTAGTTAGTTTAATTATTCTGTAAATTATTTAATTTTGTCAAGATGTATTTATATTCACAACCTCTTATGTTAACGTTTGCTATTTATTTAACATTTTTATTTATTAATTTTATACTATTTCAACTAGACCCCACACCAGGGCACCCTAAGAGGGGAAAAGTGAATTCAAAGCAAAAATAACTATTTGACTATAATGTAGGCCACAAAAAATCTTGATATAACTCCTAGTTATAATTTTGATGCAACCAAGTTATTTTTTATATATTTTGTTATTTATTCTTTTAATAATGGAATTTTTTTAAAAAGTATTTTGTAACTGAGGCATTTTGATAATTTGGGGATTTTTTTCCCTTGGTCCAGTGGAGAGAAAGATGTTTTGGTTTTCTTTTTCCATTTTGGGTTCCTTTTGTTTCAAGCACGGATAACAGCAAATGGAATTCTGTATTTATTATTATTTAAGTGTAGCGCAGATGTGTGTGCTTGGGCATGTTTCTCGTGTCGCGTTTGCGTGTCGGCCCTTGCGGTGGAGTCCTGTTGCTGTGAGGGGGTGCCGGCCGCAGGCAGCCTCGAGTCGCCGCTGGGCTCACAGGCTGTGCCGCCCATCCCTCCGACAGCTCCAATACTGTGACCCTCCTTCCTCAGGAAACGCGTTGAACCCACAGCACTCCATGGTGTGTTTGCAGGGTGATTTCCTAATAAAAGTCCACTCTGACTGTGAGTCGGTGCTGTGGTCTGTGGGGAGGACACTGTCTCCATTCCTGGTGGGGTCTATCATGCGCCCTCCTGGGAGCCATTCCTGGTGGGCTCTATCATGCACCCTCCTGAGAGTCATTCCTGGTGGGCTCTATCATGCACCCTCCTGTCCTGGTGGGCTCTATCATGCGCCCTCCTGGGAGTCATTCCTGGTGAGCTCCATCATGCACCCTCCTGAGCGTCATTCCTGGTGAGCTCTATCATGCACCCTCCTGGGAGTCATTCCTGGTGGGCTCTATCATGCACCCTCCTGGGAGCCATTCCTGGTGGGCTCTATCATGCGCCCTCCTGAGAGTCATTCCTGGTGGGCTCTATCATGCACCCTCCTGGGAGCCATTCCTGGTGGCTCTATCATGCACCCTCCTGGGAGCCATTCCTGGTGGGCTCTATCATGCACCCTCCTGAGAGTCATTCCTGGTGGGCTCTATCATGCACCCTCCTGGGAGCCATTCCTGGTGGCTCTATCATGCGCCCTCCTGGGAGTCATTCCTAGTGGACTCTATCATGCGCCCTCCTGGGAGCCATTCCTGGGCTCTATCATGCACCCTCCTGAGAGTCATTCCTGGTGGGCTCTATCATGCACCCTCCTGGGAGCCATTCCTGGTGGGCTCTATCATGCACCCTTCTGTGAGTCATTCCTGGTGAGCTCCATCATGCACCCTCCTGAGCGTCATTCCTGGTGGGCTCTATCATGCACCCTCCTGGGAGCGTGTGGGCAGGAGGGGAGTCATCCATCTCTGGTCTCTCCTTGATACCACACGTGGGGCCCCCCTTGTGTCAGTTTAGCCAATATCTCCTTTTGAAACTACCCTTGCTTACCGCCTCCATGTGTGTTTCTAGAAGGTCTAAGTCACTCTATCTTGCCCCTTCCCACATGACCAGTCATTTGCAAACTGAAGTTTTTCCCAGGAGTCTTTTCTTAGGGTCAGGGAGAAAAAGTTTTCCTGCTGAGGTTGTTAGGCTTGGGGGTGTGGAATTGGGGTTTGCCTAGGCTCTGTCTCCTGGCCACAGGAGGAAGCCATCAGTAATAGGAGAGAGTTCAGACATTCTGGAGGTGGGCAAAGCTGACAATGGAGGTAGACGTGGAGGAGAAGAGAGCTCTCTGATGATCTTTTTAGAGCTCATGGACCCAGCCATCTCTGAAGGCACTCCACCCTTGAACTGCCCAGTTATGTAAGGCAATGGATTCTTTTTTTTTTTTTTTTCAAGCTGGCATACAAGGCCAAAAAACCAATGCAAGCCAGCTTTAAAAAAAAAAGTGACTTCTCCCCTTTTTCATTTTTGTACTTTTGTGTCAGGTGGAGCTCTAGTGCTCCTAGAGTAAGACTTGGACTTGGGGCTTCTAGTCACATTCAGCCTAAACTGTCAACATGCTTTTGACCTCCCTGGAATCTGGCCCTGGTGGTAGTCCTGGAGCATTCATCTGATGTGCAAACAAAGGATCCATCTTCACTGACAAATTCTTAGAAATTCTGGACTGAGTTTCCAGCCTCTGTTGTAGTCAGACAGGGTCCATAGCACCTGTGGAGGACATTTGATCTGCCTTCAGGGCTCCAACTGCTGGCTCTGGGGGCCCGAGCAGGTGCCAGTGCCTACTAGTGGGTTATGCAGAACCTGTTCAACTATGAGGAAGGGCTCCTGGGGGTCCCCTTTGGTGAGGCCCCATTTGTGACAGGGAGACCAGTGGCCTGGAGCTGTATCCCTTCACATCAGCACAGCAGATGCAGGGGTGGGTGTGAGCAAGACCGAGTCTGCAGCGTCCCCTCAGCAAGCTGAGGTAAAATCATTCTGGGGGACATGAGAGTTGGCTGGAGAGATGGGGACTATGATGTTCCTGCTAGGGGCCACAGGCTGTTACCATGATGTTAGAAAGCTGCACAATCCCACAGTTTGATAATGGCATGAGCTGGTCACCCCCAACAAGATTCTCTCACTTTTTGCTTTGTGGCACTGGCTGGGCCACCAGCCCACTGGGAGCTGGGAGAAAAAGTGTCTAGAGCCACAGGCATGTGCTCTCTTAGGATTTATTTTTGGTATGGGACCCCACAGCTAGGCCTTCTCTACCAGCCTGCAGACCCTCCTGTTTACCATATCCAGAGAATAAAGCTCAAGGTTTCATCCAGAGGGAGGGGAGTGTTTGCCTGGCTCTCAGAGTCAGGGTGGAGTTCTGGGGAAGGGGGCTACTGGCCCCCAAAACACTTTCTCTCAGTCGTCTTCTCCCATCTCCAGCAGAATTTGGTACCACCAGTTCTTGGGGGGTTCTGAGGTGTGGACAGTGTTGGTTCTGAACTTTCTACACTCTGGCCAGAATTCAGTGTTTTGGGTCTTCTAGCCCATTTATTTTGCATCTGTGAATTTTCTGGCTTCTAAATTGCTTTGTTGCAATTTCATCTCCTCACTCCTGCCGATTTATGCCTTAAAATCTGTCATTTTAGCCAGGTGTAAGAGACAACAAAGGTAAATACACATATACACCTGCTTTCCTTACCTGAATGGGTATGCTTCAAGCTGATGAGCACACGACTGTCTGCCTGAACAGTCAGGAAGTCAGCTTAGTGCTGGGTCGACAACACCCCGTGAGTAATTGAAGCCTCAAGTTCAGGCGAGATTTTCCTATTAACCACTCTGTCTCTCTGAAGCTGGTGGCCTCTCAGAGGCTGCTAAAGACGTGGATGTGGAGGGTTTCCTAACCATCCCCTGACTGTGAATCCTGCAACACCGGCCATCCGTGCCCCCAGGGGTTATAGCCTCTGTGCCATTCCCTTTGCCATTCTTAAAATATGGAGGTGGAGTGTGGACTTCTCTAATAGTCTTAAGTCTTCACAAGGGCACCCTTATCCATGATCGTGGGTGGCCTGGGCTGATGCCAGGCAGCTGACCTTTGGCAGAGCTATGCTCTGAGCCACTCTGGCCCTCACTGCACCCCAAGCCCACCACCCCTCCTGGCTGCTCCCATTGTCTCTGCCTCTCTTCTTTTCCTCTCAGTGTCTTCAGCATGCAGGTCTCCGTGTGTGCTGACTTTTCTAAAGCCTGGCCTCTCCTCTTCCGGCACCTGTTATGGCTCCCTCCTCCTCTCCCTCTACTGTATCTTCCTCCCATCTGCTTATGTGCTCCTGGCCTCTCCTCCTTCCTGATTTCCACCCTACCCTGCAGCTGCATCGGGGCTGTCCCAGCCCCTTTCTCCTCATTCCCAAAGCTGATGTCTGCTGTGTGCAGAGAACTCCCATACTGTCCCCCAGTCCTTTCTTCCCTGGCTCTAGTACCTCCTGGGTATGCACTTGGATGCCCCAGAGGCATCAGGACACATGCCTGGGTGAACACAACCGCCTGCCCGCTACTCCCACCTGGTCCTTTCTGGGCCCAGCAAGACACCAACCCCCATCAGCCCCTGGTCTTCACTCACGCAGCTGAAGGTCACATGGCCACACGAGAGCCCCTAAGCACAGCTGCCTGATGTGCCCCGTGAATGTGAATGCCCTGG